GTGGGGTTGGGGTTGGGGTTGCCTGTCGTTTTAGTTTAGAGTTACAAAAACAATTTGCACACTATATTTTGATTGTTTTTTGTACCAAAGACACATGCAACGAAACGGCGACCAGCCAGTTAAAGTAAGGTTTTGCACAGCTTACCTGACGCCGTATTGAATGTAAGAAATGTGGGAGGGGTCAGGGAACTTCATAGAACTGTGAAATTAGTTTGGGTCCAATTCTGTACAGAAAAGGAACATTCATTATTGTTGTTATCATAATGATTTTTTTTTTGTTCTGTTTTTTATTCTCATTTTACGTCGATTTGTGGGCGTCTCCAGTCAATTAGTTGCTTATGAAGCACGTCATTCCTGAACTGATTCCTCCCCACACGCTTTTGTGTTAACGCTCTTACTTAGGACATAAAAAAAAAAACCAACAAAAAACCAAGAGCACTAGATAGATAAGCTATGTTACATTTCTGCTCGTTTGTCATGGTGTCACAAACAATAACCAAAATGTTTTGTTCCTGTGTCACTCGTTTGAAATTTGTCTGTAGATAAACTTTAGTTCACAGACAATATGTTAACTGAATTGTGTTTAAAGTACTGTATATATATACATATATACACACACATATATATATGAAAACCATAGATGACATGTCTCTGTCGAAGGTGAAATGCCACTTTTCATGACAATTGATTCATTTGAAGCATGAAACATTTCTATAGCCTTGCATTTAGAAAAATTAGAGGGGGAAAAAAAACTCCATAAAAAGACAACAAAAAAAATGTTGTTATATTTTTGTATTTTAGCCGGCTGCTAGCTTTTCCCGATGGTTTGGAAGTATTTGCTGGTCAGATTCTCCAAGTAGAGGGAAGAACATGTGGAATACAGTGACGTGGATTTACTCCAAACGCTGTGCAGCAAAGCTGTAATCTAGATTGAGGTCTAATTTATGAAGAGACCGAGGACGCACTGTTTTTAGTGCGACCTTTTGTCTGCCATTAAAAAAAAAGAGAAAAAGAGAACAACACTGTAGATATGAAAGTGTCGGGGCTGTGACTTTTCATTTAAAAATGAAGTTCCAGATACGTAAAAGGGCAAACGATTGAAACAAGGGGGGGAAACTGAGACACAAGTGGTTACAGCAGCTAGAGGGTGCTGTAGAGCTCCTCGTTGGCTCAGAGGAAAGACAGGAGCCGAAACGTCCTGTCTAAAAAAGCCGCAGATTCTCTGATCAAAATTATAGCGATCACAAGTCACATCCCTTTTCCTCTATTATTTCCCCATACTGGCTGCAGTACCAGTACTCACCAGGGAGAGCTGGCTTCACGAAAACCCTTTCTTTAGTGGACATTTATGCAAAAATTAGATGTCAGTAATATTTCTAAATTTTTTCATTTGTCATTGTCTCTTCATTGGGTGTCGTCACGGTCGTGGTCCGACTTTTTACACCAAATCCTGAAATGACCCGAGCAGGGATTTGGGGACTAGTCGGTATTCCTCAAAGACTGATTGTACATGTGGTGTACATTTCCTACAAGTCACCTAAAAATGGAGGGGCGGGAAACACGGGGGGGGGATTAATTCACAGGAAAGTCCAACTTGATTTTTGTGGAAGTCACAGCCCTGTGGAGGTGGAGGTGGAGGCAGTGTTGTTGGTTCAGAGCTCGTCTCTGACTGTTCTAGATTCACTGTGCTTTGCTGAGTGTTATTTTTTCAAAGATGTTCACACATGTTCCCTCTCTAGCTGTGAAGCTGGTTGAATTTTGTGGTTTCCTGGAATTGGCATCGCAGCTCTGAGGTTCAACGTCTCCGTAGGTTTGACTTCAGACCCTGACCTGATTTCTTTATTTCTTTTTTTCAACAAAAAACGATTGGTGTCACAAAGTTTAGACCCCAACCTGGCAGCGTGGTCAACCTTTTTGTTCAGAGGAAACGCTGCCATTCCTGGGAATTTCAAGTTCAACCTGGATTCACGTTTATTTTTGTAGGCAGAATTAACGGAGCGATTTCTTGAGACAGAATTCAGGTTAGAGTATCGTTGGATGAGGAAGGAGGTGCAGAGCAGTGGCCTCTCAGTACCGTGTGTTTGAAACACAGATATTGAGTATTACATACAGTATAAGACTATATGTATATACACATTTTCTTACTGTTTTCCATTTTGAGTAAAAGGGAGAAATGGTGCTTTTTTTCAAAAGGAGAAGGATGAGTATCCGTGATTCTTATTTGACTTCTTTAGTCCAGTTGTAGCCTGATGACTTGCTCTCCCCTGCCGTCCATAGCTATTTTCCTAGTAGTGGTTCGTTTCTTTGTAAATATCCTCTCTAAGTTAATATGTATCTTATAGATGTTAGATATATGTATAGAATATTATATATGTTTGAAAACAAAAAGCACTTTGTCCAAAAAATGAAAAAAAAAACGGAAAAAAAAAATGAAAAAAAAACCCAAGAAAAAAAGCATTTTTTTTCTTCCATTTGCTGCTAAAAAAAAAGGCCTGGTGTGATTGCTGCACGTGTGTCTGGCGATCAGTGGCCAGAAACGTCTGTTACCAGAATCTGCTACACGTCAGCAGAGAGAAGGTAGACAGGTGGGATGATCCTGACGGAGGTTAGATCAGGAGGGGGGTTCAGAGCTGTGTGATGATGCAGGGGGGAGGGTGAGGGCGGGGGGGGGTCTGATGAGTGTAAGAGTGTGTCATTGCGTGAGGCTTTGAGAAAGGTGCAGAGATCTACTTCCTGGTCAGGGACTGTGCAGATAGTTAGATTGTGGTCTTAAAAACGAGGGTTTTGATTCCAGGGCCCCTACGTTGATCCCGGCGCCCCCTGGCGTCAGGATCCATTTGCCTTCAGTAGAGGTTTCCTATGGAAAAACTGATTCTGCTTTGGCTTCCTCTTCAGGGTGATGTACAGTGTAGACACATTTCTCCAGAGAGCTATATTGTTATCATTTGTAAAACTGATTTCTACTTGTGACTTAATGAGGAGGTGGTTCATCCTGAGGCGGCCGGGAAGAGCCCTGCTCAAAAGCGGCTGCTCCCGACCGCCATCGGGGGAAGTTACTATATCACTGTACTGTATGGCAAGCCAATTACAAATGAAGACTCAATCCGGACACTTATTGCCTTCTTCAATAATCCACAAACCAATACAATAACACGAGGCGGACGGGGTTTCAGACCCCGGTTCTGCCGATACACGGTCAACAACAACAACAAAACCATTCAGCCTGATTGGCTCAAAACATGAGGAGTGGAAGGCGGGCGGGCGGGGCCTATCACATCTGAAAAACGGCCTCAAAAGCTCAAACTACCTGTGTTTAGTTGTATCAGTGGGACAATATTTGTGGCGGTTTTTCAGCTGTGGTTCTCCCAGCTCTGGTGTCGGGTCATCAGAGGTCGAATCAAAGAGAAATCCATCTGCGTTAACTCTCCATCGTCAGAGATAAAGAGAACGACACTGGCTCTTTCCTAGACTGGATTTGTCCTACTGTCAACAAAAAAAAACAACACAGTTCTTTTACACTCGCTCGACTCTTAGACGCTCAAAATATCCTTACAAGTGCTATGCAACACGAACAGGTTCCTTATGAGACGCCACTGTGTTTGTTCAACTCAGTATTTCTTAGTAAAAAGAAAAACAGTACAGCCCTTGTGTTTGTACGTACCTCTGTTTCCATCAGTTCAGTTCAGTTCAGTTCAGTTCAGTTCAGTAGAATCGCAGCAGTTGCCTCTCGCACCAAATCCTGTAAAAAAAAAAAAAGCCATGTTTTCTTTGTCTGGTCAGAGACTGGGACCGTCAGAAAACGAACCCCGACTAAATTTGAAACCAATTTCAACTTGAGATTACAGATTTTTTTTTCTACCCGTTTAAGTGTGTAATTAGCCTCGACCTCAGACTGAAGAGTGTCTGTGTTACAGACGGCCTCTCCAACACCGACACTCGCTCTCTTCATCGTCGTCTTCAGGCCTGGTGAGATTGACCCAGAAAAACAACAGATTAGAAAGAAAAACAGGCGGAGCAGGAGTGTAATCTTATTTATTTATTTTTTTGGAATCACGCTGGTAAAAAAAAACCAAAACAACAGAAAATACTGAGGATCTCACTGACAGTAGGACAACCAGGTGTGTTGAACGTGGCTGGATTTCTCTTTTTTTTTTTTTAAAGACCCAGAGGTGGACGTCGGTCCAGAGAGCACGAGCGCGGGTGTTTTGCCGATCGATCTCCAGGCTGCTTTAAGAAAGAGAGTCCTCACAGGTTTTTACATTTAACGTGATAGGCGCAAAGCTGTGCAACTTTACATTCGTAAACCAGGAGACTCTGTGGCATTTTTAACAGTCAAAGAGAAGAGTGAAAATCCACGCCAGTAAAAGAAATATATATATATATTATTCCTTTTCCTGTTTTTTGTTTGTTTTTTTTTGTTTTATTTCTGATAGATCCTATTTTAAGCTATTAGAGTGTATAACTTTGTGCTACTCTTGTCCAATACAAGCTAAGTGGATCCATAAAGCTCTTTTTCAGCAAATCAGGGTAATATTGTTCCTCTCTCTGACATACTGTATGTGACGACATATAAAAATCAAAAGAAAATATATTTATATTCCAATTATTGTCGCCATTCTTTACTCTGTACAAACCTATTGTACGTGCGTGTGTGTTATATGAAATGTCAATGTCAATCAATATGGTGCAATGATCTCTCGACACAAACTGAAACGAAAAAGAAGAAAAAGAAAAAAAAAAAAAAGGCCAACAGACTTTGTCACAAGAATTCACACATCCTCTGCTCTTCTCCAAACACAACCTCCGACGTTCTCCTCCCGACATGGATTGGACTCTCTCCGCTGAGATACTACTGGGGTTTTCTGTCACGTGGTGCTGATTGTGTCGTGTCTTTATCA